TAAGCACACAGTTAAGCGTATAGAAGGTTTTATAATACTACTCAACACATATCATTCGCTATTAAGAGTCTACTACGAATAGCATAAAAACCATAACCTACCTCCACTGAAGATTTGTGATCAAGCAAGCAATTTCCCAAAGCTTTGTTTCCTCTTTGTTTCCCCCTTCTCTCGATCGTTCTCTTTCCCTCTCCTTGTTCTTTCTATTTTTCTTATTCAAACCCCTTTTTCTTTTACCCTAATTAGCATATAATTAAGTATAAAAGATGACAAAAGTAATCCACTAATTAATTTAAGGTTATCTCCTTTAACCCTCAAGAAATTGGATTATTAATATTCAGCCACTAACTTTATAATTATAAGCAGGAATAGTCCGAAACGCCCCTTAAAATATTAAACAGAAATCCGACCCAGCCTGGGATTACGCAGTCTGTGACGGCCCGTCGTGCCTGTGACGGCCCGTCGTGCCTGCGACGGTCCGTCCTGCTGCTTCCGTCACAAAGTTCAGAGACTAATTTCACTAAAGGACCTGTGACGGCCCGTCACACCTGTGACGGTCCGTCCTGCCATTCCATCACGAAGTTTAGAGAGTCGATTTCAGTACCAAAATTTCAGAATTCTAAGTGTTTTGGAACGAGACCCCCTCGACGGTCCGTCGTGGGATCCGTCGATCATTACTGTCAAACTATTGGCTCAAAATATCCTTCTCATTAACAAAATCGGTTAAACGTCACTTAGATGCCATGTGGATGTCACATGGCATGCCACATAAGCCAATAGAGTTCCACTCATGCCACGTAGACTAATAAACTTATCCCTAGTTTCCCCCAATTTTTTCCTTTTTCCGTAGAATTTTGAAACGGTTTCACCAAAGAACATAGAACCTCTTTTTCTCATTTCTCCATTTCCTTAGAACGATTTCACAAAATACATAAGTTCTAAGGGAAGGGTATTCTTGACCCTATAGTTTGAGGGGAAGGGTATTTTTTAGCCGAAATATAGTTCAAGGGTATATTTGAGCTATATTTCGAATAGTTCAAAGATATTTTTGACCATTTTCCGTCTGTAGAATGATTTGATTATGACATTGCTACTTACCACAAACAACTTGATGTATGTTGCCTCTGTACTTGAAACAATGGTATAGCCTCTTTTTGGTTCACATGCCCGTATTATGTATAGATCGGTCACCTGGTCATTTGTTTGGTTACTGTGTGAGGTTTAGTATTTTTGGAGCTTATGAACCTTGAACGATCATTTTCGATCAAAAGTTCAAGAAGATGACATCAGAATCCAATTCTGACTATTCCATCAGTTCTAGTAGGGTCATTTTAGGCTAGTAGCATTGTCGACATGACTCCCAAAGTTTTCAATGTGAGTTGGTGTGATTAGACGTTTTAACTTTAAGTTAAAGGCTAAGTTTGACTTTAGTCAACATTCTGAGTAAATGCGCTCGGATGAGAATTCCGTCAGCGCGGCTAGCTCCGGAATGTCGAGTTTGTTCTTTCGGTGTTTTGAGGTTTTTGATATTTTTCAATCCCTTTTGTGGTTTTTGACTTAAAATGGCCAATGGAAGTGGGACCCACATTTTATCGAGATGACCTCTGATGGAAATTTCGACTGCGCCATTGAGTCCGGAATGTTGACTTTGGTAGGGTAGCATATTTGTTTTATTTTTTTCAGGTTTCGAACGGATTCCGAGCAGCCGTCTGAGACTTTAAAGAAAGTAGGCAAAACTGAAATCTGGTGCAGCCCTTTAACGACCAGAAATATGGGTTTTAACCACCAGATTTTTGGGTTTATTAGTGACCAGCTTCGTTCTTATAAAAACCCAATTTTCAGCCTTTGTGTCTTACTTTAAAATTTCGATACTTTGAGCTATACAACTCCAAATTGGGCGATTCAAAAGGCTAAGTTGTGAGATTTTTCGAGGGCAACACATTGGTGAGCTTGGAATCTGATTTGGGGACCCGATTTGAGGTAAATTTTGTGTTTTAACTGCTGTCATAGCTCATGTTCGAGCTCAACTTTCGGGAAACTTTTAGAAGGTGATTTCTTGGACATTTTAGGTCCGAATCTACTTATTCAAGAGCCTATATTGTGGGGTTTTTCGTGAGGATTGTCGTGGTATGACTGGTTTTGGCTGTTGGACCTTCATTTTTGGTAAAATCTTGTAAGTAGCTGCTGCCATTGTTGCTGATTCTTAGCGTAGAATTTGGGTTTTTTGTTGCATGTTCATGTTGGGACTGTCTTAAGTCCTGAATTGTGTTCCATTCTGGTACACAAGTTCTGAGAGTTATTTAGGACTTTTATTTGGGGTTAATTCTGGATTTCTCAACGCGGATCTCACTTTTTCCATTTTGACCGCGAAATTGACTCGTCTCCGTTTCTTGTGATTTTAGTGTTTAAATGACCGTAATAACGTTGCGACTCTATTTTTGATAGTGTATCAACGTTTCAAGGCCTTTTAGAAAGTAAAAGATCCAGGGAAGTGAATTTAGGAGCCGCGTGATCTGCGTTCAGGTAGGCTACGGTTTCTCTTCTTAGATTGAACTCAACATGTGAATGCATGTTGATTAGTTGGGATTTGGGTTGGGTAGTTATTGGATCATGCATAGGTGTTAAAAATCATATTTTTGACCTTTTTCTGAGAATTATCGAATAACTGTGAGCATGTTTATTGTTATTAATTGACCTTCTTTGCTATATGAATTACTTGTATGATTGGATACTGGTTATCAGAAGTATGTTGGGCCTTAGTTTAGGTTTGACTAGGGTTTTCCTTAGAAATGCATGATTCAATATCGGTAGGACTTAGTTTAGCCCCGACGTCACTCGGCCGGCTTAAATCCTTGTAGACTGATGTAGCAGACTTGAGTCTGATAGTTTGGTATTTAGCTAGACGATGAGCTTGCTCTAGCGATAGTTACTCTTATTTCTTCGATTTTACGGCTTCTCGAGTTACGTTAGTGACAATGAATTCCACTCCGTGATTCAAAGTTGAGTTTCGATTCGGCTTTAAGGACTTACATTGATTAGCTAAGTCTGGATGGTGTTCCACGGGTATATATGATTATGGATAGATAAAGACTCTTTCAGCAGCTATATCGACATCTTTGTCGGGTATCCGGATTTAAGGTCCGGCCTCGACCATCCACATACTTGTGTAGAGCATTCGGTTAGAGGTCCGGTCTCAAGTATGTAGAGCATCCGGTTAGAGGTCCGGCCTCAGTTACTTATATTTTGCAATTGGCTACTTGTGTAATTTTGGTGAGCGTCCGGTTCAAGGCCCGACCTCTGTACCATCAGATTCTACTTTTTGGCTCGGTGTTCTTTGGCCTTGAGTTCTATTCTCGTTTAGTTATAGTTATTTTGTGTACTCGTCGGGCTTATGGGGGTCCGTTCGGATTTTTATTTAAACTTGCGCACAAGTGTACCTTCTGGGCTTATGGTGGGTCCAGTTAGGTGTAGTTAGCTTATTTATATTAATTTAGTTAGATCTTTATACACTCGTGTGCATTATTGTGTTACTTAGCCTTTCGTTCTTGACCTCTAATTTTGTGATTCCGTCTTTTCATAGTCTTTACTTTTCTAGTTCAGTCGGCCTATGATGCCTAGTGGGTACCTGTTATTTGGTACTCATGCTACGCTCTGCATCTATTTTCGTGATGCAGGTCCGAGCACCAGTAGTCAACGTTGATCGATTTTGGAGCATTTCTGGTCTGGAGACAGGGGTGAGCACACGACGTTTTGTACTATTTCAGTCTCTATCTATTTATATGAAGACTTGTCTTTTACTTTTCGAGACAGTCTAGTTTCGGTGGTCCATTGTTGGGACTTGCACTCGTTTTGTTTGTAGCTCTGTCTTAGTGACTTTCAGGCTCTGGGAGGGATCCTTAATTGTATTTATGTTTTGGTTTGCTTATGTTGTTATAGTAATTTTGCTTAGTCTTGTTTAGTTTCTACCCTCACACCCACTACGTGTTGTTCTGGGTTGTGGTTTGGCTTACCTACTGGTGGGTTATAGTAGGTGCCTTCATGGCTCGAGAAATTGGATCGTGACAAGTGATTTCACAATGATCTGTGTATTCAATGGATGTGATTTGTTCATGTAAAGACACTTTAAAACATTTCGGTGTATATTAATTGATGGATAAACATTCTCTTTATCAAATTCTCAATGTATAGTCCAAGAAATTATTTTATTTTACCAAGATTTTGATCATTTTAAATTTCTACTTCAAACACTCAATATTGTTTGAAAGCTCATTTAAGAGTGCCATCAACATATATAGGTAAGGAATCCTGAAGCGTTTCTTGATAATTTTCTCTCTTCTTCTTCTTATTTGTTTCTGCTACTCTGTTTTTCTTTCCCCCGATAAAATATGGGGATGAATTTTGATGATGAAGGACTGCTGAATTATCTTATCAATTTTGTTACTGGTATGCCTGTTGAATGCAACCAAATTCGACTTGTAGATTTGTATGGCAAGAAGAAGCCATCTCAGTTATTTGATACGACTACTACTGATCATCATCATGTCTTTACTCAGTTAAAGAAAAAAAAAGGAATGGTAAGAACTTCAACAGGGGAATTGTTGGTGGTGGCGGCTCATGGAAAGGAGTTAACAATAGTAGACCAGTTTACAACAAGAAAGGATTAATGATTGGGTTCAAGAAAACCTTCCGTTTTGATGAAAATAATCATGTCTGGTTTATGAAAGAATATCGTCTTTGCGATAAATTACTAGAGGACTTGAGACTACATGGTAAGATTCGATATGAGGATTATGTTTTATGTAGCATTAGGATGAAAGTCAATTGGGGTCACTTTCGACAGAATCTTCTTGCCAGTTCTTCATCACAATGTCAAGAAACTGTGAAATCCAGTGCTGCTAATGTAATTCCATCTGATCAGTTAAATAGTACTTTGAACGGGAACATTCGCCCAGTTACTTTAGTCTTCAAAGAATCAAATGTAACCCAATGGCCTGCTACAATACAAGAAGAATGCTTTGTTCCCGTTATTCATCAAGAAATTCCCTCTGTTAGTTTCGGCGCAATAGAAGAAGATTGCTCTGTTCCTGTGGTTCATCCGGAAACACACTCTGTTAGTTTTGCTGCAACTGAAGAAGAATGTTCTGTTCCTGTGGTTCATCAAGAAATTCCCTCTGTTAGTTTCGTCGCAAAAGAATCAAATGTGTCTGCTTCAAAAGAAGTAGAAGAATGCTCTGTTCCTGTGGAAACTCGTCCGGATAATGACATTGCTACTTACCATAAAGAACTTGATGCGTATGCTGCCTCTATACTCGAAACGATGGTTCCTTACATTCCAGAAGTGCAAGAAGATGAGGATGACATCCCACTTTTCAGCGAAGATTTTTATATTGGTCATACAAATCTGTGGAGTTAAGAGTAATCTCTGATGGTTGATACAGCTCATTCTTTAAGGAATTGTAAATGTTTTTATATGTCAATGCATTTCAGTTTTCTTTTACACCATTCCTTTAGTTTGTGGTTTCTGATTAATTTTTGGCGCGATTAGTGGTAAGACGATATATGAACAATGTATCCAAGTGGCCACTGTGAAGTTATCATCACTGAACTTTATCTCTATTAGGTCCCTTCCAGACCTCATAGCATATTCAATAGCTTGAAATGTAGAGTTTGAGGTCCCTTTTGTTAGTTCAACAATTCTTGTTTAATGTGTTCTTCCTCATCAATTTGATTCCACGACTATCAGCAAACGAGTTGTCGAGGGAAGGGAAATGACTATGTAAACAACTATTCATGAGATTAAGGGGGTACGAAATTGTGCCGTGGCAGGTCATATATGACACCTTTGCTTCTCTCTAAACCATGATCCCAAGGTTGCTGCATTTTGTGCTACTAGAGGTTTTAGGTAATGGAAAGAATCATACTTGAAATTTTTACAATCAAAGCTCAGTTAGCCTTTCACTCGAGCTCTTTGAATGCCATTTTCGACTTCTTTCGTGCCAATTAGTGTAGGCATATTATCACAATTTGGTTTGCGCAAGTGAGTTTTGGTTTGAGATTATGGTCGCTTCAAGGTTTTGAGTCATGTCCCAAATCGATATTCACTTTGTATTATTTTCAAGTTGGTTTGTTACAGTTGAAGACAATCATGCCTGTTTAATATAGAACTGGACGACTCTGACTATCTTTCAGAGCAAACAAAAGATCCTAACCAGCTTCCCGACAATGGAAGATTCTTATACATAATAATTCTCATTAAATGAACAAGGGATAAAATATACAACACTCTCTTTGTCTCAATTTATGTGACACATTTCAAATTTCGAGATTCAAACAAGTCTATCATTGATCCTAAATTAATCATATATGTTTTAAATATATTGAATTGTCAATTATTACGATTATAGTAATTTTTACGGAGTTCACAAATATATAAATTTTATTTTAATAAAATGAAGATTTCATGAGTAAATTCTCAATAAAACTTAAAATGTTTAATTCTCGAAAAACGAAAAGTGTCACATAAATTGAGGCAAAGATTATAGTATCTAAAAAGAACCAAGGAGAAAAAAGATTTCTTAGAAAAAACATGTAGTGCATGGAGTGTGTGCATCAAAATCACATTAATTTATCATGTTTAAGCAATAAATAAAAGGTGATAATAGATACTACATTCATTAATCATTATTACAGAAGGTACATATATAGAACTAGACTTGGTCCTAATATTTACAACGTGTGAATTGTTGAGCGTTTCTTGTTTACACGGTAATATATAATCTCTCTTCTTCTTCTTCTTCTTTCTTTTCTACTCCTCTGTGTTTTTTTCTTTGTATGGTAACTTAGTTATTCGTTTGAAATCTCTTAAGAATTTTTGAAATTATGAAGAAAACAAATCCTAAATTTATTATCTTTATTTTAATAAGAAAAGTAAATTTAATGTAATAAGTTGAACTCTTAATGAAATTTAAAATTAATTTAATAATATAATAAGCTTAATGTAAATACAGTTTTTTTCTAATATCTATTCTTTTCCTTCAAAAGTTATTATTCATTCCTTTAGTAATGAACTTTTTTTCTATCTTTCACTAATCTTAGATTATGAAATGTTTGTAAATCATTTTCTATCTTGACTAATTTTACTACGATTACAATATATTGCCTATTATTTATATAAAAATGAATAGATTGAAAGATAAATAGTCTCAATTATGCAAATAATATAAAGTATTCAAATAAATTAAACCCAAACTATATATATGTATTAACTAAAATACAACTTTAAATTTACCTATATTTTAGTTACTTTTTCTAAATTATTCTAAAAGGTAAACATAAATAAAAATTGTGAAATTTCCTAATCCTCAAAATTGATTTCATTATTCAAAATAAAATGTATACAATGTTGAAACTATAAAAAAAAATTGAAAGATAATGAACAAAACGATAAAAAATTGAAAGATAATGAACAAAACGATTCAAGTCTTCAAAATTAAAATGAATATACCTGAAATTTCAATAATACTATTTAGTGTAGGAATAAATTATAATTAAATAAATTAATCAAATAATCCTTGTTGAAGTACCAAAGAAAATTAAAATAAATTAAAATTAAACGAATAAACAAAATAATCTTTGTAGGAATACCAAAGAAAATTATCCTAGTCTCTAATTATTCAATTTGTACACACTCTCAATGTTCCCTACACCATTTGGAGATTAATGGACATAAACATTAATGTAGGGTTCCTTTTCCTTGTGATTTTTATGAAAGTTAAACTTAAATACCTAAATATTGTCATATGTTCATCTTGTCTTCCATTATAAATAATAAAGATCATTTTTAAAAAAAATATGCGCAAAATAATAAGTACTAAAATCATCAATAATGAGGAAAAAAGCAATAAAAAAATATTATAAATTAAAGACATCAAACAAACTGAAATAAAAAGAGTAACATGAGTGAAATATTGTACTCATCAAAATTGAATTTGAATTCCCAAAATTGTCATATACTCGTCTTCTCATCCACACTTTTAAGTTTTAACAATATAAGTTGGTCACAAAGAATTTATATATATAAAATTAGACATAAACAAAGTGACGTACCTTGGTAACACAAATTAGATATTGTTCTCATTGAATTTGAATTCCGAAGATTGTCATATGCTCATCTTATCTTCCACATTGTAAAAGTTAGTAACAAATAAACTATATATTATAAAATTAGACATAACCAAAGTGATGTACTTTAGTATAAATATGATGAAGAAAGAAAAAATAAAATAAAAAATTCTTGCATTGGTGAAGATAAACATGTTTTAGTATTTATAGCAATCCATAAACTTTTAACAATTGAATAAATAAATTAAAAAGAGTAATGGAGTAATCAATACCTACAATTGTAACTTATATTGGTCATTGATGTCTTAATTATAATTTAGTAATACTTTTAAGAAGGAACAGAGAAATGTTGAAATATTTAAAGGGATAAACTGTAATGTATATATACCTAAAATAATAAAGAAACTAATGGAGGAATTTAAAGAGAAATGATCAGGATATTTATTTAGTTTAACTAATATATCAAGAGAAAAATAAGAGAAAAAAGATCTTTAAGAAAAGATAAAATATATAAATTCTAATGCTGGCCTATGAGGGCTGTCACATCAGCACTTTCATATCGATATATATATATATATATATATATATTTAGCATGTACAATTATATTACCAAAAAAAAACAGGCATAAAATTAATTAACAGCAACTATATATTAAGAAGATAAATTAAGTTTAAAAGTTCAAAATATTATTCAACACTTGTATATATGTTATTTTCTATATAGAACTATCATAGTCACCAACTAATTAATGAGAGGAAATACTCTCCTGTTAGAAATAGGATACCGAAAACAAGTGACCATGAAGACCAACCGTTAATCCTTTCTATTTTTGGTAAGAAATTACTATAATTAAGAGTTATACTATTCATTTTAAATAGTAAAACACAAAATAATTAGTTCCTAATCATAAAAGAAGTGGGAAATAGTTTCCCTATATGTACATACATAGATAGGCAAAGGGTAAATTAATTTTCCTTCTGTTGGTAAAATATGAAGATCAATCTTACTGATGAACAACTCATGCTCTCTCTTCTTAAATTTGTTACTGGTGTTTCTGTTCAAATTCAGTTTGTCGACTTGTATGGCAATAACAAACCTTCTCGGATATTCGATACTGCTACTGCTACTGAATATCACGTTTTTACTCGGTTAAAGAAGAAAAAAACAGGGAGCGGTAAGAACTTCAACAGGGGAATTGTTGGTGGTGGTGGCTCATGGAAAGGAATTGACAATAGTAAACCTGTTTATGACTGGAAAAGATCAGTAATTGGCTCCAAGAAAACTTTCCGTTTTGAGGAAAATGGATTATGAAAGAATATCGTCTTTGTGATAAAGCACAAAACGCATTAATACAAAGTGGTCGTATTCAGGAGGAATTTGTTGTATGTCGCATTACAAGGAGTGTCAATTCTTCGTCGAATTTTGTTCCAATTTCTTCATCACAACCACAACAAACTGTGAAATCTTTTATTCCAGATTTGAGACAAATCAGTGCTGCTGCTAATGTAATTCCGAATGGGAACATCACACAAGTTAGTTTAGTCACAGAAGAATCAAAATTGCGTCAAGGCTCTGCTCATCAAGAAACTCCTCCTGATTATGACATTACTACTTACTACAAACAACTTGATGCATATGCTGTCTCTCTACTCAAAACAATGGTTCCATACATTCCGGAACCACTGCAAGAAGACGAAGTTGATTCTATCCCACTTTTCTCCGAAGATTTTTATATTGGTTATATCGATCTCTGGCTTAAGAATTGGCAATAGTTGATACAACTCAACTCTTACAATGTTTTTTTCCAGATTGTATATATTTGAAATTTTATCTATCAATGTACTTTCAGTTTTCTTTCAAACAGTGTGGTTTCTTAATTTGGTTTAGAATTAATTTTTATAGAATATTTCTTAAAATCACATTGGTTAGCTGCATGAAACACTAAGGGCAAGTTCCATAAGGCTAATTGATCTGCCACACTACCTATTTATAACAAAAGCACCAAGAAGATTAGAGTTTGCAAATTTGATGACTTCTTGTCAATGTGAGGAGATTGAAGTCTTGTTAAACTATGACTGACCTGAACTGTTGTTACTTACACCAAGTCCAGCGATTCACTCTAATTCACTATAACAAATAACCAAATCTTAATCTTAAAAAAAAAACGCGGAAATATTGCTCCTCTACTCGATACATAACAAACAATACATAAGTTATGTATCAGATACATAACTTGTAACGATTCAAAAAAAAAATTATATAAATAAGAATAAATAGGTATTTAAGGGCAT